TTTTTTTTTTTTTTTTTTTTTGCGTAATACATTGAGAGTTATGAAGCTGTTTAAGACATGAGTTTTGTACGTAAAAGGCAAAGCTCATCATCTTTAAAACTAGATCACGGGTGAATCTTATGTCCCGAACTATGATAACGTCTGTCAGTAGACTTTGATTGCTATAGTCTTTAAAGTTTAACGTGCAATTTGTTAAAATTGAAACTTTGAAATGTATTATGGAAAAAAAAAAAAAAAAAAAAATTATGAAAAAAAAAAAAAAAAAAAAAAGTTAAGGTGCAGTGATGTAATTTACTATAAAAAAAAAGCCTACAACGTGTTGGAATCTATCACTGAAAGAACATGTCATGGAAAGTGTTGTTGTAGCCAATTCATTAGAAATAATGTCTTAAGAAACTATTATACATCTCCGGACTTTAAGGTCACGTTTATTAAAGCGTCAATGAGAAAGGTAAAATATACAAATAGAAATGAGAATCATTGATTTACTTTTTAATGTTTACTTGTTTATTAGTGATAGAATTGGAAAACAATCAAATTTTCTTCAGTATTTACTAAACATAAACAGAGTAATCTAGAGGTGAAAGTCTGGATTTGGGGCTGGTCTAGCCCGTTATTTTTATTAGGTGGGGCCGGCCAGCCCTAGAGAGAGGAAGTCGACCCGCACCGGCTCTAAAGTCCGATGAGCCTACTTCGGCCTGAAATTTATAAGGTATTAAAAACAATAAAAATAAAAGGGTGTTTGGGCCGGCCCGGCTCAGACACTTAAGAGGACCGAGATCAGGCCAACACAATTAAATAATCGTTGGATTATAACATATGAATTGATTAAATATATATTTAATAAATTTGACATTCATTCACTTTAACAGATAATCAATACCACAAGGGTGCGGGTTTGGCATTCTATTTTCTCATTTTTTATATTGTATTGGGCCTATTAAACTCTCTTATTGATTTTATAAGTAAATACATTATTAGTTGGGAAAGGTAATTACTCTTCCTCTTTTCTTTTCCATGAAAGTAATGCGCCCAAAGTGTAACGTAAAGTTCATGGATAAATTGAGACACAAGTTATAGTTTAAGATGGATTTTTCAAAATGAAAAACTCTACATATTACTACATGTCTTATTTTCTCCAAACTTTGGATGGAATTGAATGGAGGGGGGTTTCTTGTAGCAGTTAAGGGGTATGTTTATAAACATTTTAAGTTCGGGGTACACTGAGTCACAAGCCATAGATCAGGAGAAATTTTTGAAATCAATCTTAGATAAAATGTTCAGTTCCAAGGACTTGAAAAGTGATGAGGAAAGAACTAGGACAAAAACAGTTTACAGCCTGTTCAAACTAATTCCTGACATAACCAGTTCTACTGAGAGTGTTTGTTTAGGTAATTGACGTTTATGGGGGGTCTTGTGCAGTGAACCGCTGCGCAAGTACAGAGAGCAAGAGCTAGTGAACTTGAGAGGAGATGGGAAAAGAGAGCTTCAGGAATGGGACAGAGTCTATGATTATGCTCACTACAATGATTTGGGTGATCCCGATAAGAGTCAACACCATGTTCGCCAAACTCTTGGAGGGTCTGCTGATTTCCCTTATCCTCGTAGGGGAAGAACTGGCAGAGAACCCACCAAGACAGGTTAGACTATTTTGTTTCTTCACATTCTGTTCGTGCTTTGAGTCGAGTTCTTGTGCCTTTGATTAACACTCACGCATACAACAGATCCTAAGTGCGAGAGTAGGCTGAGTCTTCTTACAAGCATAAATGTTTATGTTCCAAGAGACGAACGGTTTGGTCATGTGAAGATGTCCGACTTCGTTGCTTACGGTTTCAAAGCCTTGGCTCAAGTCGTTAAACCTGTGCTAAATTCCAAGTTTGATGATACCCCGGGAGAGTTTGACAGCTTCCAAGATGTACTTGACATGTACGAAGGAGGACTTCCAATGCCTTCAGGATTGATCGAAGAGATAAGAGAAAGCATTCCTTCTCAGATGCTGAAGGAAATGTTTAGAACTGACGGTGAAAGAGGCCTCAGATTTCCAATGCCTCATGTCATTAAAGGTAAATTTCTTCTTTTAAGCAAGTGCTTTATTTTTCCTCTCACATGTTATGTTTTTTTTTTTTTTTTTTCTTTTTGGTCTTTTACTTTAATGGTGATATCTGAGTAATTTTGAGCAGAGGATAGGTCCGCATGGAGGAGTGATGAAGAATTTGCTAGGGAAATGCTTGCTGGAGTGAACCCTCTCATCATTCGCCTTCTCCAAGTAATTTAAAACTTCAAAGTTTCGATTTACTTATCTTTTCTCAGTCTTCCTAACAGCCAAAATGTCGGTTTCCACTTTTGTTTGTTCTCATTCCTGATTTAATTACAGGAATTCCCACCAACTAGCAAGCTGGATCCTAAAGTGTATGGCGATAAAAGCAGTAAAATCACTGAAGCACATATCAAGAACAACTTGGATGGTCTCGCGTGAACGAGGTCATGTTCCTAGCTCGATTTTTTGTCTTAATTTTTAATTTTTAAGTTTCAAGGCCTGCAGATATAGTGGTTTAATGATTTCTTACTAGAAACCAATTTGGCTGAATAGGCTCTCAAGAGCAACAAGTTATTTATATTGGACTACCATGATGCCTTTATGCCATACTTGAGGAGGATAAACACAACTGCAACGAAGACTTATGCCAGCAGGACATTCCTTTTCCTGAAAAAAGACGGCACTTTGAAGCCATTGGCAATCGAGTTAAGCTTACCACATCCAGATGGTGATCAATATGGTGCTGTTAGCAAAGCATATACACCAGCTGAAGAAGGTGCTGAAAGCACCATTTGGCAGCTGGCCAAAGCTTATGCGGCTGTTAATGACTCTGGCTATCATCAGCTAATTAGCCACTGGTAAAACTCTCTAGTCTCTAAGAAAGATTTGAAAAATTAGTTCGGGTTTCTTATATTATTATTTT